ATCCAGTTCAATACAAGAGGGATAGGAGGACCCTGATCCTGGGAGCTTACAATCTAGGAGGTAAACCCCCACAGAGGCTCTGACTCTCCTCTCCATGGCTGTAGGTGGGGGTTAGTAATGGGGGTGGATTGGAGACACTTTCCCCCACACGGCCTTGTCCAGTGATCCAATCACAGCGCTCGGTCCTGGACTCCCGCCGTATAAACGTCTGTTGTCGCTCTATCAGCGCTCCGGCTGCCATGGCACGCTCCAACCTTGCGCCCCATCCCCCCCACATGAGGTTTCATCATTATTCTACGTCTGAGGCTGCTGCCCCAGAAAATGAGAGTCTCTCCGGTGTAAGAAGTCTGGAGGAGGCGGCGGCGGCAGACAGGCGTTCGCTGCGTTTGAACATCTCGTGTGTGGCAGAATCTCGTCTTGCACAGAGTACATGCCTCCGGCCTCTTCTGACAGCTCTGCAGATAAGTGCCGAAACACGCCGGTCTCCCAGGAACCGACGAATAAAACCTCCAAAGTGTGAAATAGTCGGATTTCTCGCAGAACTCCTCTGGAAAAAAAAAAAAAAAAAAAAAAAAACTTTTTAATCCCAGATCTTGATTAATTCATTAAACTGGGGAGCGCGAGAAATACGCCCAGACATCAAAGCGGCAGCGCGGCCTGAGCCGGCAGACAGGATCGGGGCGAGAACAGAAATAGATGATTCCTCCAACGCCGATTACAGAGGAACGGCCGGGAGCCACGCCGGGCTTATCACAGCGATTCCATCATGGGGCCACATCCATTCTACGGACGTACACTGTATACAGGAGGTATACGCCGATCAGCCGCGGCATTCCCACCACTGGCGGGTGAAGTCGCTAACATTGAATGTCTTGTTACAATGGCCCCTGAAAGTGGGCGGGATATATTAGGCACCAAGTGAACATGTTGTCCCTGATGTTGAGAGCAGAAAAAATGGACAAGTCTAAGGATTTGAGGGACTTTATAATGGCCAGACAACGGGGTCAGAGCAACTCGAAAACTGCAGCTCTTGTGGGATGTTCCCGATCTGCAGTGGTCAGGACCTACTAAAACCAAAAGTGGTCCCAGGAAGGAGAACCCGGCCAACCGGTAACAGGGTCATGGGCGGCTAAGGCTCATTGATGGAGGTGGGCAGGGAAGGCTTATTGATGGAGGTGGGGAGGGAAGGGCTCACTGATGGAGGTGGGGTGGAAGGCTCATTGATGAAGGTGGGGAGGGAAGACTCATTGATGGAGTGGAGGGAAGGCTCAATGATGGATGTGGGGATGGAAGGTCCACTGATGGAGGTGGAGGGAGAGTCGAGGCTCATTGATGGAGGTGGAATGAAGGCTCATTGATGGAGGTGGGGTGGAATGCCCATTGATGGAGGTGGGGGGGAGTGGAGGCTCATTGATGGAGGTGGGGAGGGAAGGCTCATTGATGGAGGTGGGAGGGAAGGCTCATTCATGGAGGTAGGGAGGGAAGGCTCGTTGATGGAGGTGTGGAGGGAAGGCTCATTGATGGAGGTGGAGAGGGAAGGCTGATTGATGGTAGCGGTGGAGGGAAGGCTCATTGATTGAGGTGGGGGGGGAACTCATCGATGGAGGTGGGGAGGAAAGGCTCATTGATGGAGGTGGGAAGGGAAGGCTCATTGATTGAGGTGGGGAAGCAAGGCTCATTGATGGATGTGGGGATGGAAGGCCCATTGATGGAGGTGGGGGGAGGGGAGTGGAGGCTCATTGCTGGAGATGGAATGAAGGCTTAATGATGGATGTGGGGATGGAATGCCCATTGATGGAGGTGGGGGGAATGGAGGCTCATTAATGGAGGTGGGAGGGAAAGCTTATTCATGGAGGTAGGGAGGGAAGGCTCGTTGATCGAGGTGGGCGGAGGCTCATTGATGGAGGTGGGGAGGGAAGGCTCATTGATGGAGGTGGGAAGGGAAGGCTCATTGATAGAGGTGGAGTGAAGGCTCATTGATGGATGTGGGGATGGAAGGCCCATTGATGGAGGTGGGGGGGAGGGGAGTGGAGGCTCATTGCTGGAGATGGAATGAAGGCTCAATGATGGATGTGGGGATGGAAGGCTCATTGATGGAGGTGGGGAGGGAAGGCTCATTGATTGAGGTGGGGAGGGAAGACTCACTAATAGAGGTGGGAGGGAAGGCTCATTGATGGAGGTGGGGAGGGGACTCAATGATGGAGGTGAAGAGGGAAGGCATATTGATGGAGGTGGGGAGGGAAGGCTCATTGATGGAGATGTGGAGGGAAGGCTCATTGATGGAGGTAGGGAAGGAAGGCTCATTGATGGAGGTGGAGAAGGAAGGCTCGTTGATGGAGATGGGGGGAGGCTCATTGATGGAGGTGGGGAATGAAGGCTCATTGATGGAGGTAGGGAGTGAAGACTCATTGATTGAGGTAGGGAGGGAGGGTTCATTGATGGAGGTGGGAGGGAAAGCTTATTGATGGAGGTGGGAGGGAAGACTCATTGATGGAGGTGGAAAGGGAGGGCTCATTGATGGAGGCGGAGTGAAAGCTCAATGATTGAGGTAGGGAGTGAAAGCTCATTGATGGATGTGGGGAGGGAGGGCTCATTGATGGAGGTGGGAGGGAAGGCACATTGATGGAGGTGGGGATCAAAGACTCATTGATGGAGGTGGGGGGAGACTCATTGATGGAGGTGGGGAGGGAAGGCTCATTGATGGAGGTGGGGAGGGAAGGCTCATTGATGGAGGTGGGGGGGTGACTCATTGATGGAGGTGGGGAGGGAAGACTCATTGGTGGAGGTGGGGAGGGAAGACTCATTGGTGGAGGTGGGGAGGGAAGGCTCATTGATGGAGGTGGAGGGGTGACTCATTGATGGAGGTGGGGGAGGGAAGACTCATTGGTGGAGGTGGGGAGGGAAGACTCATTGGTGGAGGTGGGGAGTGAAGGCTCATTGATGGGGTGGGGAGGGCTCTTTGATGGAGGTGGGAGGGAAGGCTCATTGATGGAGGTGGGGAGGGGACTCAATGATGGAGGTGAAGAGGGAAGGCATATTGATGGAGGTGGGGGGGAGACTCATTGATGCAGGTGGGGAGGGAAGGCTCATTGATGGAGGTGGGGGGGTGACTCATTGATGGAGGTGGGGAGGGAAGGCTCATTGATGAAGGTGGGGAGTGAAGATTCATTGATTGAGGTGGGAGGACTCATTGATGGAGGTGGGGAGAGAAGGCTCATTGATGGAGGTGTGGAAGGAAGGCTCATTGATGGAGGTGGGGAGGGAAGACTTATTGATGGAGGTGGGGGGGAATCATTGATGAAGGTGGGGAAGGAAGGCTCATTGGTGGAGGTGGCGAAGGAAGGCTCATTGATTGAGTTGGGGGTGGGAAGCTCATTGATGGAGGTGGGGAGGGAATACTCATTGATGGAGGTGGGGGGGGACTAATAGATTGAGGTGGGGAAGGAAGGCTCATTGATGGAGGTGGGGAGGCTATTTGATGGAGGAGGGAATGGAAGACTCATTGATGGAGCTGGGGAGGGGAGGCTAATTGATGGAGGTGGGAGGGAAGGCTCATTGATAGAGGTGGGGAGTGAAGACTCATTGATTGAGGTGGGGAGGGAAGACTCATTAATGGAGGTCGGGAGGGAAGGCTCATTGATGGAGGTGGGGAAAGAAGGCTCATTGATGGAGGTGGGTAGGGAAGACTTATTGATGGAGGTGGGGGGGACTCATTGATGAATGTGGGGAAGGAAGGCTCATATTTGAACTGTCAACATATTGCTGACCATTGCTGGCCATTGCGGATCTCCTTCAAAGACTGTGCATAAGGCCCCTGTCAGATGGGGTGGATCTGTCATCATGATCCGCCTGCTCAGTGGGTGATCTCTCCGCTGATCCCCGCTGGACAGGCAGATGACAGGTCTGTGTTCGCTCTGTTGCTGTAGAGCGGACACAGACACTGCCAACTGATTTTAGTTTGACGGTCGGATGGAAACGGGCCGGCTGTCCATTTCCACCCAATTGTCATCCGATCCACCAGAAGGATAGGGAACAGATCCCCATCTTTCTGTTTTTGGCGTAGAGGAATCGGATCAGATGACGGCGGGTGTCAGCAGTCCGCTTGTTTGAAAGGGGCTTTAGCGTTAGAATATAGCTGTCTTCCGAATTTCAAATTTAAAAAAGAATAGAATAAAACAGAATAGAATAGAAAATAAAGGAACAGAATGGAAGATAAAAGGAAAAGAAAATAATACAATAGAAAGGAATAGAATAGATAAAAAAAATAGAATAGAATGAATATAGCCGTGTCCGAAATTTGAATTTTGAAAACAATACAATAAAACAGAATAAAATAGAAAAGAAAGCAAAAGAATAGAATAGAAAATAAAAGACTAGAAAAAAATAGAAAAGAATGGAATCAAATAAAAAAAAAAAGAATAAGATAGAAAAAAAAATATAGGAAAAATAGAAAGAATATAACTATCTTCCGATATTCCAGTTTCACAAAGAATAGAATAAAATAGAATAGAAAATAAAAAAGCAGAATAGAACAGAAAAAAAAATAGAATTGATTAGAATAGAAAAAAAAAGACTAAAATAGAAAGAATATAGCCGTCATCTGAAATTTGAATTTAGAAAAGAGTAGAATAGAATAAAACAGAATAGAGTAGAAAATAAAAGAATAGAAAAAAAGCGGCTAAATGGTTAGCACTTCCACTTGGCAGTACTCGGGTCGTTGGTTCAAATCCCAACTACGGCACCACCTGTCTGGAGTTTGCATGTTCTCCCTGTGCCTGTGTGGGTTTCCTCCAGGTCCTCCGGTTTCCGCCCCACACTCCAAAGACATGCTGGGAGGTGAATTGAATCCTATCTAAATTGTCCCTAGTATGTGTATGTATGATGTGAGTTAGGGACCTTAGATTGTACGTCCCTCGGGGGCGGGGACTGATGTGAATGTACAATATATATGTAAAGTGCTGTGTAAATTGACGGTGCTATCAGGGGTGGACTGACAACTCATGGGGCCCCTGGGCAATAGGGGATCATGGGGCCCCTGTGTCCTTGCCCAAACTCAAAAAAGCCTATGAAAAAAGTACCAGGGGCATCTCCATGGGGCCCCCTACTGACCCCGGGCCCTCGAGCAGTGCCCGAGTTTCCAAATGGTCAGTCCGCCCCTGGGTGCTATATAAGTACCTGAAATAAATAAAAAGAAAGTATAGAATAAAATAGAAAAGAATAGAATAAAAAGAATATAGCTGTCTCCTGAAAATCAAATTTTAAATACAATAGAACCAGCTATTCTTCACAATCAATTCAAAATCGATTCTTTTTTTTTTTTTATTCAAATTCTATTTGAATGCTTTGAATCCAGGTCGAAAATGAATTCATGAAAAAAAAAAAGGAATGTAAAATTTTTTTACAAATGCAACAAAAACAAAATTAGTAACTTAACAAATCCATATGAAATGAAACAAAGCAATTTTTTTCTCGTTCTGCATGTCTAACAGTGAGTTTGAGGTGTTGACTTGGCCCCCAAATTCTCCAGATCTTAATCCAATTGAGCATCTGTGGGATGTGCTGGAAAAAGAAGAAGTCCAATCCCTGGAGGCCCAACCTCCCAACTTACAGGACTTTAAGGATCAATTCATTTTTTCCCTCAACATTCTACCAACAATCCCCCATAATGACAACGGGAAAGAAGTTTGTTTTGAAATCATTGCAATTTATTAAAAATAGAAAACGAACCCCCCCCCCCCCCCATGTACATAAGTATTCCCAGACCCCCCCCCATGTACATAAGTATTCCCAGACCCCCCCCCCCCCCCATGTACGTAAGTATTCCCAGCCTTTGACATGACACTCAGCATTAAGCTCTGGTGCATCCTGTTCCCACTGATCATATTTGAGATGTTTCTACAACTTTGATTGGAGTCCACCTGTGGGACGTTCAGTTGATTGGAAGTCCACTGGTGGACTGTCATTGATTGGAGTCCCACCTGTGGGACATTCAGTTGATTGGAGTCTACAACATTCAGTTGATTGGAGTCCACCTGTGGGACATTCAGTTGATTGGAGTCCACCTGTGGGTACATTCAGTTGATTGGAGTCCACCTGTGGGACATTCAGTTGATTGGAGTCCACCTGTGAGACATTCAGGTGATTGGAGTCCACCTGCGGTACATTCAGTTGATTGGAGTCCACCTGTGGGACATTCAGTTGATTGGAGTCCACCTGTGGGACGTTCAGTTGATTGGAGTCCACCTGTGGGACATTCAGTTGATTGGAGTCCACCTGTGAGACATTCGGGTGATTGGAGTCCACCTGTGGGACATTCAGGTGATTGGAGTCCTCCTGTGGGAAATTCAGTTGATTGGAGTCCACCTGCGGTACATTCAGTTGATTGGAGTCCACCTGTGGGACATTCAGTTGATTGGAGTCCACCTGTGAGACATTCAGGTGATTGGAGTCCACCTGTGGGGCATTCAGGTGATTGGAGACCACCCGTGGGAAATTCAGTTGATTGGAGTCCACCCGTGGGACATTCAGTTGATTGGAGTCCACCTGTGGGACATTCAGTTGATTGGAGTCCACCTGTGGGACATTCAGTTGATTGGAGTCCATCTATGAGACGTTCAGTTGATTGGACATGATGAGGAAAGGCATACACCTGTCTATAGAAGGTCCCACAGGTCACAGTGCATGTCAGAGCACAAACCAAGCCATGAAGTCCAAGGAATTGTCCATAGATCTCCGAGACAGGATTGTATCAAAGCACAGATCTGGGGAAGGGTCCAGAAACATTTCTGCAGCATTGAAGGTCCCAATGAGCACAGTGGCCTCCATCATCCATAAATGGAAGAATTGATTGGAGTCCACCTGCGGGACATTCAGTTGATTGGAGTCCACCTGCGGGACATTCAGTTGATTGGAGTCCACCTGTGGGACATTCAGTTGATTGGAGTCCACCTGTGGAAACGTCAGTTTGATTGGAGTCCACCTTTGGGACATTCCGTTGATTGATTGATTGGACATGATTAGGAAAGGCATAAACCTGTCTATAGAAGGTCCCACAGGTCACAGTGCTGGCAGAGCACAATCAAGCCATGAAGTCCAAGGAATTGTCCGTAGTCCTCCGAGACATGATTGTATGAAGGCACAGATCTGGGGAAGGGTACAGAAACATTTCTGCAGCATTGAAGTTCCCGATGAGCACAATGGCCTCCATCATCCGTACATGGAAGAAGTTTGGAACCACCAGGAATCTTCCTACAGCGGGCCGCCCGGCCAAAATGAGCGATCGAGGGATAAGTGATTCAGTTGATTGGAGTCCACCTGTGGGAAGTTCAGTTGATTGGAGTCCACCTGTGGGAAATTCAGTTGATTGGAGTCCACCTGTGGGATGTTCAGTTGATCGGAGTCCACCTGTGGGACATTCAGTTGATTGGAGTCCACCTGTGGGACATTCAGTTGATTGGAGTCCACCTGTGGCACATTCAGCATTGAAGTTCCCGATGAGCACAGTGGCCTCCATCATCCATAAATGGAAGAAGTTTGGAACCAGGAATCTTCCTACAGCGGGCCGCCTGGCCAAAATGAGCGATGGAGGGAGAAGGGCCTTAGCTGGGGGGGTAACCAAGCACTGGATGGTCACTCTGCAAGAGCTCCAGCGTTTCTCTGTGGAGAGAGGAGAACCTTCCAGAAGAACAACCATCTCTGCAGCACTCCACCAATCAGGCCTGTATGGTAGAGTGGCCAGACGGAAGCCACTCCTCAGTAAAAGGCAAATGGCAGCCCGCCTGGAGTTTGCCAAAAGGCACCTGAGGGACTCTCAGACCATGAGAAACAAAACTCTCTGGTCTGATGAAACAAAGATTGAACTCTTTGGCCTGAATGTCAGGCGTCATGTCTGGAGGAAACCAGGCACCGTTCACCACCTGGCCAATACCAACCCTACAGTGAAGCATGGTGGTGGCAGCATCATGCCGTGGGGATGTTTTTCAGCGGCAGGAACTGGGAGACTAGTCAGGATGGAAGAAGGATTAATGCAGCAATGTACAGAGACATCCTTGATGAAAGCCTGTTCCAGAGCGCTCTGGACCTTAGACTGGGGTGACGGTTCGTCTTTGAGCAGGACAACGACCCCACATCACAAAGGAGTGGCTACGGGCCAACTCTGTGAATGTCCTGGAGTGGCCCAGCCAGAGCCCAGACTTAAACCCGATTGAACATCTCTGCAGATCTGAAAATGGCTGTGCACCGACGCTCCCCATCCAACCTGATGGAGCTTGAGAGATCCTGCAAAGAAGAATGGGAGAAATCACCCAAAAATAGGTGTGCCAAGCTTGTAGCATCATACTCAGAACGACTTGAGGCTGGAATTGGGGCTAAAGGGGCTTCAACCAAGGATTGAGCAAAGGCTGGGAATACTTATGTACTGTACATGTGTGGGTTTTTTTTTTAATTTTTAAAATTTTTTATAAATTGAAAGGATTTCAAAACGAACTTCTTTCACGTTGTCATTATGGGGTATTGTTTTTGTAGAGACTGTTGAGGGAAAAAAGTTTGAGTGAAAAGGCTGGAGTGTGGGGGTTTTTTTTTCCATTTTTTTAAAAATTGCAAAAATTTAAAAACGAATAAGTTGTCATTATGGGGTATTGTTTGCAGAATGCTGAGGGAAAAATGTGGAGTCATTTTGGAATAAGGCCGTAACATGACAAAATGTGGCAAAAGTCAAGCGCTGGGAATACTTTCTGGATGAACGTACAGGCCATATACTGTATATGTTCTAATTGGGATTACGGGACGCCGTGTACCTGCCCAGGACAACAGAAACCAAAACCTATCCCTGAGCTCTCCTCCGATGTTCCTGAGAAAGGCCTGAATGGGCCCCATTTATAAGATCCAACCTGACCTAAAATAGGACGCAGGATACCCCCATATCCACCTCCAGGCAAAAATGTTATCAGCCCCCCTTATCAACAGAAAACTATGGTTACGTTCCATGAAAGAATACATAAACCCAACATTTCCTGTTCCTCATCTGTGCCTGCTGTACCATGTTCCGGTATGAAGAGGTGTCACGATCATGGGTCAGGCTCGAAGACCAGTTGCTATAGCAGTGGAAAGGCTCACCTGAAACCAGCAGGATAGGTACACAGGCAGGTCACCGTGGCGGAGGAGTGGGATCACCCGAGGTGCAAACCGTTGTTCAGCAGAGCTCCTGATGGTGGAGATGGATTTGGCTGCTTGTTAGCACCAGGTCCTCAGGATCACCCCACCAGGAGGTGAGCAAGCAGAGGTCCAGTAGCGTATAAGCAGGTAAGGATCAAACGGAAGCGTGGTCAGTAAACAAGCCAAGGTTGGTAAGGAGCAGTCGTAGGTTGGGATCAGGCAGAAGCGTAGTCGAGAACAAGCCAAGGTTGGTAAGGAGCAGTCGCAGGTTGGGTAGTCGAGAACAAGCCAAGGGTCAATAACGAGTGGTAGCAAAATATGGATAATAACAGAGATGACAAGCAAGATACTGGCTGGAGAGCACAATAATCTGGCTAACAGTAAGTGCAGAGACATGGCTTATATCAGGAAGTTCATGGGAGGAGCAAGGGGTTCAAGGTTCATGACAAACAAGGTCAAGGTAGGATCATCCAAATGATTGTCAAAGGAGCTGTCCAGCATTCCCAGTGGCTCAGCAAGAAAAAACATTGCCACTCACCACAGAAGGCCCAGGTTCTGACAAGAGGTCCCCTGTTCTCTTTGTATTGCTTCCTGTGTGTGAAATCCCTGGTGATCCTGCCAGTCCCTCTGCTTGCCTATTAGAAAAAAAAAAAAAAAAAAAAAAAACTGACCACGCTAGGCATGGGAGCACAGCGTGGGCAGTTCTCTAGTGTTGCTGGGAACTCAGCCTGCTCTCCTCCAATGATCAGACTTGTCCTGTCACGTCCCCCCCCCTGCACAGCCATTCACTGGAACGGTCAGTGTGCTGCTGCTTCTTCTCCCCCCCCCCAGTTCTTAGGCAACAGAGTATAGGAATGCGATCACTTATATGGAAGGGAAAAAACAGTATTTTTAATAAAAAATAAAATATAATTGTATTTTTGCATCCATATGCAAATCTTTCATTTCTATTTTAAACTCAATGGGTTGTTTTACAAGGTGAGGATTTACAATCGCTTTAAATTCGACCTACGGTGATCTACAAGACACCCCCCACCCCCTCCACCATGTGATAGGTGGAGCATCCTGCCAACAGCGCCAGTTCAGACACAGAAATGATCCCATGACTCCCTTTCATACTCCATAATGCCTTTCACAGCCCCTTCCCCCCGTATCACACCCTGAATTACAACATACAGTTGTGCTGAAAAGTCTGCTCCCCTCCCCCCCTCAGGGAGAATTGGTAATATACAGGATGGACCATGTTCAAAGAAAACACGAGTGAGCCGGCAAAACCCATTTCTTGCATTTTTTATGGGATTCATATTCTGTAACTGGAAGTGATAACAGAATGAGCCAATCATAAAACAGAACATGGCAACAAGTAAACCAATGAAATGCCCCCCCCCCCCATTCCATAGTCTGCACCCCCTGCCTATCGCCCCGTTTACCATCAATGACAGCGGTGAGTCTTCTGTAATAGTTGTCTATGAGGCCCCCAAATTCCTGCAGGTGGTAGAGCCGCCCATTCGTCTCGCAAAATGCCTCCAGGTCAATGTAAAGTCTTTGTTGTCTTGCATGAACGGCAAGTTTGAGATCTCCCCAGAGCGGCTCGATGATATGAAGGTCAGGAGACTGTGATGGCCACTCCAGAACCTTCACCTTTTCCTGCTGTGACCACTGGAGGGTCCGCTTGGCCTTGTGCTGAGGGTCATGTCGTGCTGGAAAGTCCACGAGCGTCCCATGAACAGCTTTCGTGTAGAAGAACGCAATTGTCTGCCAGCACTTACCCCCCAAAACTTCAGTGAGCCACCACCATGCTACACAGTGGGAATGGTTGTCTTGTTGCTATGGACCTTGTTGACCCCTCACCAAACACAACACTTTAGGGTTGTGACCATAAAGCTCTATTTTGGTCTCGTCACTCCAGATTACAATGTGGCAGAAGCTGTGAGGCGTGTCAAGGTGTTGTCAGGCGTATTCTAACCGGGCTTTTTTGTGGCATTGGCGCAGTGAAGGCTTCTTTCTGGCATTTTGACCATGCAGCTCATTTTTGTTCAAGTATCGTCATATTGTGCTTCTTGAAACAACCACACCGTCTTTTTCCAGAGCAGCCTGTATTTCTCCTGAGGTTACCTGTGGAGGTTTTCTTAGTATCCCGAACGATTCTTCTGGCAGTTGTGGCTGCAATCTTTCTTGATCTACCTGGCCTTGGCTTGGTATCAAGAGAACCTCAAACTTTCCACTTTTTAAGTGATTGAACAGTACTGACTGCCATATTTAGGGCTTTGGATATCTTTTTATATCTTTTTCCATCTTTGTAAAATTCCATTACCTTGTTAGGCAGGTCTTTTGAAAGTTCTTTTCTGCTCCCCATGGCTCAGTGTCTAGCCTGCTCTGCCCTCACAAACGCATAAATTATTTACACACAGACACTAATCACAATGTAAAGGCCACAGATGTGGGAAGTGAACCTTTAATTGGCATCCCCAATGGGGATGGAAACTTTTCATCAGGGAATTTTGGGGGATTTCTCTCAGCATTAGGATTTAAAAAAGGAGCCAAACAACGATGGATAATAAATTAGGACCAGAGCAGGGGAGGACTAACAACTCATGGGGCCTTTGGGCAATAGGGGACCATGGGACCCCTGTGTCCTTGCCCACACTCAAACCACATCTCATGGGGCCCCCTTCTTACCCCGGGCCCTCGGGCAGTGCCCGAGTTCCCAAATGGTCAGCCCGCCCCTGGACCAGAGGACCCATAATCTAGCACACTGTGACCCTTCCTATGTGACATTCCCGCGTAATATGGATCAGGGGTGGACTGAAAACTCGTGGGGCCCCTGGGCAATAGGGGATCATGGGGCCCTGGTGTCCTCATCCACACTCAAACCACACCCAAAAAGGCCTATGAAAGGTACCAGGGGCATCTCATGGGGCCCCCTACTGACCCCAGGCCCTTGGGCAGTGCCCGAATGGTCAGTCCGCCCCTGGTATGGATACAGTGCGACCGATTTAGCAGCTCTCTGAACTTTTGGACGTCACAGAGAACTGGTGACCCTCGGTATTCCATTCGGATCGGCAGGATTGCAAATTAGCCGAGAAAAAGTCTGCAGATTGTTGGCGAGATGGAGAGAAGACTCTGCGGAACGCGTGGAGGGTTCATGGGAAGTTCAGCCTCCAAATATACGAGTAAATTGAGAAAAATAAAATATTCAGCAGCTAAATAAAACTCCCCCAGAGCTCCGCCGCGTCTCCAACTGTCAGACACAACAAGTTTCACTTCAAAGGCCGAATCTTCAAACGGACAGAATGAAAGATGAAAGACGTTCTGCGAGAGACGAGGCCGGCCCAGCCTCAACCACTGGCCGCACACCGGCCGCAACTTTACTACCAATGGAGAAAGTTCCGCAACTCTTCTCAGCTTTTCTGTTATTTCCTTCTGTATCTGGTGATTGGATGCCGTGCGCCCAATGGAACTGGTGAGGGAGCTTGGAAGTAACCCAGAGCAGCCACATTACTTTGCCGCCATTGCTCTGTGCAATGCCTCGTGAGATCAGGCCAGATCTGTCCAGCAGAAGCAAAAACTGTACAGCTCTATCACCGGACAAGGATGACTGATTAACCTACACGGGTGTTTCTGGACTGGAGGAGAGGAATATACAAGTCAACAAATGGAGACATGAAGGGAACTAATTCTGGCATAACGGAGCTGCAAGACAGAAGAGCCTGGTAAGGTGCAATATATGATGTCTACGCAAAGTATTAGAACTTAATATATGCATGTTAGAGCAGTCCTACATCCAACATACGACCACACTGAGGTAGGAAGAGGGCAGTGCTCCTTTACTTGCCTACTCACATGACTGGCGTGGGCCCCTTTAACTCTGTTCCCTGCAATCCCCTGGGCTCCCATGATCCTCAGGACTCCCGAACAAACCTTGGTGATATACACTCCAAGTCTTCCTTCCCTCCACTTCTCAGGAGGACGACAACTGAAGGGACAGCAGCCACCAGGCACTGGGCCTTCCAACATTGTTCCTGGCATGAGGGCCACCATTGAGAGCAAAAGCAAAGTCCCAACACTGTGAACACTGGACTGACCAGCTCTGGAATCCTGCCCTTCCAGTGGGGTGGCATTACCTTCCGCCACATGAGCTTCCTGACCAAAGAATCCTTCAGACTCACTCATGTGGAACCTGCCTGGAGATACTTGTGACAGACTATCTGGGGATACCTGTAACCCACTACCTGGAGATACCTGCTACTTACTACCTGGGTATCTCTGTGACCCACTACATGGGAATACCTTGAGATACCTGTGTCCCACTACAAGGAGATACCTGCAACCCAGTACCTGGAAATACCTGCTACCCACTACCTGGGTATCTCTGTGACCCACTACATGGGGATACCTGCATCCCACTGTAAGAGGATACCTGCAACCCATTACCTGGGGATCCTTGTGACTCACTACCTGGGGATCCCTGAGACCACTACCTGGGGATCCCAGCAACCCTCTACATGAGGATACCTGTGATCTACTACCTGAGGATATTTAGGGATGCCTGTGTTTCACTACCAAGGGACACCCGTGACCTAGTACCTGGGGATATCTATGGCCCACTACCTTGGGATAACTGTGACCCACTACCTGGGGATCCCCGTGACTCACTAACTGGGGATCCATGTGTCCTGCTACCTGGGGATCTCTGTGACCCACTACCTAGGGATCCCTAAGACCCACTACCTGATGATCCTACGACCCACTATCTGAGGATCCCTGTGATTCACTACCTGGGGCCATGTGACCCACTACCTGGGGATCCCTGCGACCCACTACCTGAGGATCCCTGTGATTCATACCTGGGGCCATGTGACCCACTACCTGGGGATCAGTGTTGCCCCCATATATCAACTGTCTGCATCAGACTGGCTTATCAGTGTATGAACTCTCAGAGACCTGGGGGGGGGGGGCATAGCTAAAATCTGGGGGAGCACAGCCCATCCTATCACCCCCCTAGATCCGACCCTGATCTGGTTTGGCGCATGCTGGTGCAGCGCCTCCTGTGGTAGTTCCAGGAATGTCCTCTCTATTAGGGATCATGCGCACTGCTGCTCCTAAATTTTTGGGTCTTTTGGCTTTATTTGGCCAAGTCCCTGAACACCCCTGTCCATGCACACATAGCGCCAGGGGCGGACTTACAACTCATGGGGCCCCCGGGCAATAGGGGATCATGGGGCCCCTGTGTCCTTGCCCAAACTCAAAAAAGCCTATGAAAAAGGTACCAGGGGCATCTCATGGGGCCCCCTACTGACCCCAGGCCTTCGGTCAATGCCCGAGTTTCCAAATGATCAGTCCGCCCCTGCATAGCGCTTGATTTACTAAAACTGAAGTGTGCAAAAATCTGGTGCGCATGGGAGCCAATCAGCTTTTAACCTCAGCTTGTTCAATGAAGCTTTGACAAAAAAACCCTGGAAGCTGATTGGTTTCTACGCACAATTGCACCAGATTTTGCACTCTCCAGTTTTAGTAAATCAGCCCCCATCGTTTTTTTTTACCAGAGTTTAGGAGCAGCGGCACTTAGAGGCAGTAAAATTCTCCTCTCCTGTGCGCAGAAAAAAAATCGCATTCAGGAGAGGAGAGTTTTGGCAAAAAAATCTTTGACGCGGCAAAAACGCATGTCAACGCGTCTAAACGCACATTAACATTAGGCACGTTTAGTGCTTGAACGTTAATTCATTTCAATGGTCGGAATAAATGATTATTCTGGCCAATTAAATAAATGAACGCCCCCGAGCGCTTGACGCAGCTTAAAGCGGTACAAACACGCGTCTTGCCACGCCAAGCATTTTTCCGCTGCCAGGAGAAAGGCGTCTAGGGAGCTGGTCAGGAGCGTCCAGTGTGCATGAACCCTCAGAAGGGAATTGGCGCCTCGCGCTCGGCTAACATGAATTGAGACATTTCCTGATCTTCAGTTCTCTCGCCATGGCGGGGAAATTGGAGCGTTCATCGTGAATCTCTCTTCACATATAGAGGTCAGACGTGTCCTTTTAGGGGACGATTTGCCGTCATTACGCGGAGTCATCGCTGGCGCAGAGCGCCGGTCTGTCATCTCGTCATCCGTGGATAATAATAGTGCAATTATGTGATTTGCTCACCTGAAGGCCTCCGCCATGAAATGATGGAGACTCGTCTGAAACCTCCTTCATTATCCCGACATCTCCGCCATATTCCACCTCCTACGCCGCAATGACAGCCGCCGCTGACAGACACTAATTACCCGGCCAGCCGTGAGACGGAATTATTTCCATCAGAAGTTCTGCGGAACTTGTGTGTGAGAGACGAAACTTTTCCGAGCGGAGACGCCGCGGCAGAGGATCTGAAGGAGACGTCACCTGAGAGGACCTGTCACTTCACACCGAGAGGATCTGCCGGGGAGAGCGAAGACGAACTGAATTCCAACTAAACTGATAAATAATCGATCAAAAGGGTAAAAAACTGGAGGGTGCAAAATCTGGTGCAGCCAGAGCCAATCAGCTCCTAACTTCTGCTTGTTCAATTAAGCTTTGACTAGATATGTTCAGCTCGTTTTGTTCCGAATCGAAATTCGGACTCAATTTTTGTTTTTTTTTTTTTCATTATTCGGAAATTTGGATGTATCCAAATCTCCAAAATTACAATAGGAATGAATTTAAACAAATTTGAAATAAAGAAACAAGTTCGAAATATAAACATATTGCTGACTATTGCTGATTTTCTTCAAAGACTATATGTATTAGTGTCAGAATATACTGTAGCTGTCTTCTAAAACTTGAAAAGAATAGAACAGAAAATAAAGGAATAGAATAGAAAAGAATAAACTATACAAGATAAGAATAAAATAGAAAGAATATAGCCGTCTTCCAAAATTTGAATTTTTAAATAAATAGAAGAGAATATACACTATATTGACAAAAGTATTGTCCCCACCCCCAAATCATGTGTTCCAATCCCCTCCCAATCATGTGATTCAGGTGTTCCAATCCCCTCCCAATCATGTGATTCAGGTGTTTCAATCCCCTCCCAATCATGTGATTCAGGTGTTTCAATCCCCTCCATATCATGTGATTCAGGTGTTCCAATCCCCTCCATATCATGTGATTCAGGTGTTCCAATCCCCTCCCATATCATGTGATTCAGGTGTTCCAATCCCCTCCATATCATGTGATTCAGGTGTTCCAATCCCCTCCATGGACACAGGTGTATACAATCAAGCCCCTAGGCATGCAGACTGCTTCTGCAAACATTGGTGAAAGAATGGGTCGCTCTCAGGAGCTCAGTGACTCCAAGCGTGGTCCCGTGATAGGTGGCCACCTGGGCAATAAGTCCATCCGTGACATTTCCTGGCTACTAAATATTCCACGCTCAACTGTTAGTGGGATTATAACAAAGTGGAAGCAACTGGGAACAACAGCCACTCAGCCACCAAGTGGTAGGCCACGTCACATGACAGGGCGGGTCAACACATGTGAAGCTCACACAGTGCGCAGAAGTCGCCAACTGTCTGCAGAGTCAATAGCTAAAGACCTCCAAACTTGGTGTGGCCTTCAGATGAGCCCAACAACAGTGCGTAGAGAGCTTCATGGAATGGGTTTCCATGGCCGAGCAGCTGCATCCAAGCCTTCCATCACCAAGTGCAATGCAAAGCGTCGGATGCAGTGGTGTAAAGCATGCCGCCACTGGACTCTAGAGCAGAGGAGACGTGTTCTCTGCAGTGACCAATCATGCTTCTCTGTCTGGCAATCAGATGGATGTGTCTGGGTTTGGCGGTTGCCAGGAGAACGGTACTTGCCTGACTGCATTGTGCCAAGTGTAAAGTTTGGTGGAGGGAGGATTATGGTGTGGGGTTGTTTTTCAGGGGTTGGGCTTGGCCCCCTAGTTCCAGTGAAGGGATCTCTTAAGGTTAAATTTTGGACACTTTCATGCCCCCAACTTTGTGGGAGGAGTTTGGGGACGGCCCCTTCCTGTTCCAACATGACTGCCCACCAGTACACAAAGCAAGGTCCCTAGAGACATGGAGGAGCCAGTTTGGGGTGGAGGAACTTGACTGTCCTGCACAGAATCCTGACCTCAACCCCATAGAACACCTTTGGGATGAATTAGAGCGGAGACTGCGAGCCAGGCCTCCTCCCCCGACATCAGTGCCTGACCTGACAAATGTGCTTCTGGAAGAATGGTCCAACCTTCCCATAGACACCCTCCTAAACCTTGTGGACGGCCTTCCCAGAAGAGTTGAAGCTGTTATAGCTGCAAAGGGTGGGGCCAGGAGTGGACTGACAACTCATGGGGCCCCTGGGCAATAGGGGATCATGGGGCCCCTGTGTCCTTGCCCAAACTCAAAAAAGCCTATGAAAAAGGTACCAGGGGCATCTCATGGGGCCCCCTACTGACCCCAGGCCCTCGGGCAGTGCCCAAGTTTCCAAATGGTCAGTCGGCGGGGCCAACTCAATATTGAACCCTACGGACTAAGACTGGGAGGCCATTAAAGGTCATGTGTGTGGAAAGGGCGGGGCCAACTCAATATTGAACCCTACGGACTAAGACTGGGAGGCCATTAAAGGTCATGTTTGTGGAAAGGCCGGCGGCCTCATTACTTTGGGCAATATAGTGTACGTGTCAGTCTGAACCGCCAGTGACACGAGAGGCACACGTGAAGCTGAGCGACGGTGACAGTCAGCATCGGGATCTGTCCCATCGCCTGATCGACCAAGGGCTGACACGATGTGACAGCGCTCCTTTCTCGTAGAGAGCAAAAACGTGACAGCGAAAGTACCAAAACTGCAACACCAATCCGATGATGTCACAGCGCAGACAACCTTGGATGGAAAATTCTGATTTAGAGATTACAATTTTTTATTTATTGATAATTTTTGTTTTTGACCGATTTAACGTTCAAGACCGCAATGTGTACTTTTACGCCGTTGGACTTCAAGCGGTTGTCCCGGGACGATGTCCAGAGCTACAGGCACCATCCCAGTATTGTTCTTTTTCAGGAGGCGATCGGCTTCTTTGAAAATTAGCCGCCGGATTGCTTTTACAGACATCCCCCATAACTGAGGTCCTCCAGGACCATTTTTAGCTTTGTTGCCCTTCCTGGACTCTCTCCAGTTCCAGCAAGACCTTAGGATCGGTGACCACAACTGGATGGAATACTCAAGATGTGGCCAAACCAGAGTTTTGTAAACTGGTAGAAATATACTATTATCTGTTGAGTAAAAACCCATTTTGATGCAGGCTAATAGTCTGCTGGTTTTGCTTGTTGGAGCTCGGCATTGCATGCTATTGCTGAGTTTTCAGTCTATGAGGACCCCCAGATCCTTTTCCATCCTTGATACCTCCAGAGGTCCTCCCCCCGTTCTAATTATTTATGAGTGAAAATGAGGCAGAAAAAGACTGTTCAACTTTTTGTGAGCCTGGTCTGAAGTTATTCAAGGGGTGCATAGTGGTTCTAGTGTATCCAGAAAGAACCTGGGCCTGCTGGGAGGGGTATGAGGTACAATGCACTACAAAGCCACTTCACAAACTAACGAAGAACAAGGTCATTGCTAAGGTTGACTATGAACCAGGGGCGGACTGACAACTCATGGGGCTCCCAGGCAATAGGGGATCATGGGGCCCCTGTGTCCTCGCCCACACTCAAACCACAAACAAAAAAGCCTACGAAAGGTACCAGGGGCATCTCATGGTGCCCCTTACTGACCCCGGGCCCTCAGGTATTGCCCGAGTTTCCAAATGGTCAGTCCACCCCTGCTATGAACACAAGGCAACCAGTCCAGACATGGTACCTGGGTAAGGTGAGGTGTCCTCCAGTAGCGAGGGGGGTCTCTGCTTGGACTCGCTCCCTAGTGGTCCATTCGTATCCCATAGCAATCAGGAGCAGACCAACGTTACGGTGGTCATCAGCCTAACTGTGAGGTACGGAAGAGGAAAAGTTAACACAGGACATGTATGAGATCCATGCTATGTGTCTGGTGGGATCCCATTCTATTACTGGGAGTGAGGTAACAGAGGTACTATGGTAGGTGAAGGTAGACCAGCTCAGCCCTCCAAATGCAACAATTAAAAGTCAATGGGACATCATTTGTAAGAGGAGCTCAGATACATTACTACATGCAATGAAAACTCATCTCTGAGTTGGGGAACTGCCTTAGACTGTGCACATGACCGCAGTCCCTGCTTGGTCCCGGGCGTTGGTGAGCGCACCCTCGGGCAGAGGTACCCCTACCACACACACACAGCTCAGCAGCAGCTCAGGCACAAAAATTGAATCCAACTCAGAAAATTGCTGTACAGAGGTTTCAAGTTCTTTGAAATGTAAGAAGACGATGACTTTCCTACACCCTTTCTCTGAGAAGCACTAACACTGACTAAAGGAACATGGAAGAAGCAGGGAGGGTCTAGCAAGGACTGAACTAACTAGCACTAAACAGGACCGGAGGATGGAAGTTACCAAACTCCAGTTGCAAAGGCCCAAACCCACCACTAGATGTCAGCATGATACAAAAATGATAACCTGATGCAGTTCAATACAAGACACAAAACTTACATGAAGGTGGGCAGAACAACGAGGAACTCCCAGTGACGGCGACCTCCACCTCCAGATTTTTTGGGAGTTTCCAATGTGTAGACAGGTTCGCCAATCCCCAATTCTGAACCGCCTGAGTGGTGTGCTGAGACCCTTCATACCAGGGGCGGGCTGACAACTCATGGGGCCCCCGGGCAATAGGGGATCATGGGGCTCCTGTGTCCTTGCCCAAACTCAAAAAAGCCTATGAAAAAGGTACCAGGGGCATCTCATGGGGCCCCCAACTGACCCTGGGCCCTCGGGCAGTGCCCGAGTTTCCAAATGGTCAGTCCACCCCTGCTTCATACTCATCTCACAAGATAAAACAGATTCTTCTTCTATCAGTTTTCTTCAAACTCTTTTTTAAACATCAACCAAAATTCTGGAACCCCAACCATGTGCCATATGGAGGGTGGGGGGCCTCTGTAGGGATGATGGAGGTCGCCATCCTCCATGTTTCCATACACAATCCCATTATTACTCTGTGGATGCTCTTCTGATAAATGGATTACGATGACGGGGGTTTTCTTTGTAAATTGTTTCATCCATCACACTGTAAATTATCACCCCCCCCCCCCCCCCCATATTGGGCCTATGCTGGCCTCCATTCTCATCCTACGCCCGGTTGGCCGCATTCGTCCCTTGTCTGGTAATCCTTCATTTCATTTATCTGCCATCTGACCTCTGTTCTCCAATCGCCATCACCCATCACCTCATCTATCTGCTGTTTTGTATTTCCATTCTGTGGTCCGCCATTAATCTTCTCCATCCCTAGGAAGACATCCAGCTTCTATTTCTATCCTTCTCCTCAGTCAGTCATCCATCCCCCCCCCTCCCCGATCCAGGGGGTCCTCCATCATCCAACCATCAAACTGGGCTACAGAAGTGTCTTTGTTACTTGTAGAAATTCTCAATTTCATTGTCTGAACTGAGAAAAAATGTTCATTGCTGGGATGTAGATGAGACCGCATGTCTCCGACACGAGTCCACATCCAGGGGGAGGGAGACAGTTCAGGAAATATAGGAGGTTGCCTGAGGCTGCATGGGTGGGGTGTCACAGAGGGACCCAGGGAGCAATGGAGTTACAGAATGACACAGGATACTTGGAGTCACTGGAGACACTCACCGTAGAAAATGAGGTCACTGGAGACCCTGGAGTCACTGGAGACACTTGGGGTAGCAAAAGACACAGAATCTCTGGGGTCACTGGACACACTGAGGTCACTGGGGACACTGGGGTCACTGAAGACAATGGGGTCACTGGAGACACTTGGGGTAGCAAAAGACACAGGAGTCACTGGAATCTCTGGGGTCACTGGAGACACTGAGGTCACTGGGGACACTGGGGTCACTGGAGACACCTGGGGTAGCAAAAGACACAGAATCTCTGGGGTCACTGGACACACTGAGGTCACTGGGGACACTGGGGTCACTGAAGACAATGGGGTCACTGGAGACATTGGAGTCACTGGAAACTCTGGGGTCACTGTAGATGCAGATATGACTGGACGTCCTGGAGTCACTGGAATCACTGGGGTCACTGGAGACACTGAGATCACTGGGGACACTGGGGTCACTGAAGACAATGGGGTCACTGGGACACTGGGGTCACTGAAGACAATGGGGTCACAAGAGACATTGTTCTCACTGGAAACTCGGGGGTCACTGTAGATGCAGATATGACTGGACTTCCTGCAGTCATTGGAGCACTCAGGTCACTGGAGACACTGGAAACACTGGGGTCACTGTAGATGCAGATATCACTGGACATCCTGGGACATCCTGGAGTCATCGGAGTACTCAGGTCACTGGAGACCCTGGAGTCAATGGAAGCACGGGGGCTACTGGAGACAATTGGGTCACTGAGGCACTGGGGTCACTGGAAACACTGAGGTCACTGGAAACACTGGGGTCACTGAAGAGAATAGCATCACTGGAGGCACTGGGGTTACTGGAAACACTGGAGTCACTGTAGATGCAGATATCCTTGGAGACCCTGAAGTCACTAGAGACACTAAGATCACTGGAGACACTGGGGCCACTGGAGACACTTGGGGAAGCAGAAGACAAAGGAATCACTGGATTAACTGGGGTCATTGGAGACACAAAAATCACTGCAGACAAAGGAGTCACTTGAAGTTATGGGGTCACTGAAGACATATAGGTCACTGGAGGCACATTCAATACACACCATATTGCCAAAAGTATAGGGCCAGCCCTCCAAATCATTGTATTCAGGTGTTCCAATCCCCTCCAAATCATGTGACTCAGGTATTCCAATCCCCTCCATATCATGTGATTCAGGTGTTCCAATCCCCTCCATATCATGTGATTCAGGTGTTCCAATCCCCTCCATATCATGTGATTCAGGTGCTCCAATCCCCTCCATGGACACAGGTGTATACAATCAAGCCCCTAGGCATGCAGACTGCTTCTACAAACATTGGTGAAAGAATGGATCGCTCTCAGGAGCTCAGTGACTCCAAGCGTGGTCCCGTGATAGGTGGCCACCTGGGCAATAAGTCCATCCGTGACATTTCCTGGCTACTAAATATTCCACGCTCAACTGTTAGTGGGATTATAACAAAGTGGAAGCAACTGGGAACAACAGCCACTCAGCCACCAAGTGGTAGGCCACGTCACATGACAGGGTGGGGTCAGCGCATGCTGAAGCGCACAGTGCGCAGAAGTCACCAACTGTCTGCAGAGTCAATAGCTAAAGATCTCCAAACTTGGTGTGGCCTTCAGATGAGCCCAACAACAGTGCGTAGAGAGCTTCATGGAATGGGTTTCCATGGCCGAGCAGCTGCATCCAAGCCTTCCATCACCAAGTGCAATGCAAAGCGTCGGATGCCGTGGTGTAAAGCACGCCGCCACTGGACTCTAGAGCATGGAGACGTGTTCTCTGGAGTGACCAATCACGCTTCTCTGTCTGGCAATCCGATGGACGTGTCTTGGTTTGGCGGTGGCCAGGAGAACGGTACTTGTCTGACTGCATTGTGCCAAGTGTAAAGTTTGGTGGAGGGGGGATTATGGTGTGGGGTTGTTTTTCAGGGGTTGGGCTTGGCCCCCTAGTTCCAGTAAAGGGAACTCTTAAGGCAACATTTTGGATAATTTCATGCTCCCAACTTTGTGGGAGGAGTTTGGGGATGGCCCCTTCCTGTTCCAACATGACTGCCCCCCAGTGCACAAAGCAAGGTCCATAAAGACATGGAGGAGCCAGTTTGGGGTGGAGGAACTTGACTGTCCTGCACAGAGTCCTGACCTCAACCCCATAGAACACCTTTGGGATGAATTAGAGCGGAGACTGCGAGCCAGGCCTCCTCCCCCGACATCAGTGCCTGACCTGACAAATGTGCTTCTGGAAGAATGGTCCAACCTTCCCATAGACACCCTCCTAAACCTTGTGGACGGCCTTCCCATAGACACCCTCCTAAAACCTTGTGGACGGCCTTCCCATAGACACTGGGGTTACTGAAAACATTGGAGTTACTGGAAACACTGGGATCAATGAAGACAATGGGGTCCCTGGAGACATTGGAGTCACTTGGAACACTGGGGTCACTGTAGATGCAGATATCAATGGAGACCCTGCAGTCACTGGAGACACTGGGGTCACTGGAGTTATTGGAGTCCCTTGAAACACTGGGGTCACTGGAGACACTGGGGTCACTGGAGTTATTGGAAACAATGGGGTCACTGGGGTCACTGGAGATATTGGAGTCCCTTGAAACACTGGGGTCACTGTAGATTTAGATATCACTAGGGGCATTGGAAACACTGAGATCACTGGAGACATTAGAGTCACTGGAGGCTCTGGGGTCATTGGAGTCACTGGTAACCCTGGGATCGCTGTAGATACAGATATCAATGAAGACCCTGCAGTCACTAGAAACACTGGGGTCACAGGAGGTATTGGAAACACTGGGGTCACTGAAGACAATGGGGGTCACTGGGAGGCACTGGGGTACCTGGAGACATTGGAGTCACTTGAAAGACTTGGATAACTGTAGATGTAGATATCACTGGTGTCACTGGAGTTATACATACATAAATCAAAGCTGATCATTGTAAGCACCGCTGTCAGTGGTAAATTGCTTGTCTCATCCCTCTAACTGCAAGAGAGCTTGTTCTTTTGAAAAACAGCAGACTTATTGGCTGGATCACCAGGTGAAAATCGAAGAAAGAAAGCCTTAAAAAAAAAACTAATGCAGCCGTCACTAAGGACAGAACCCAGGACACAGTATTGGTGGGACACGGGGCCAGGATGGGAGACTGTCCCGGCAAATCCATGTATGGAGGTGTCCTGTAGTCCTGTCCTAACGCGACAACACTACTCCTCTATAGATACAGTACGGTGAGTGAGCGTTGTCACCCCAGGACAGGAAGTGTGTAACTGGCAGGATCACCAGGTGCAGATGAAGAGGGAAAAACGAATGCAGCCGCCACATCTGAATAATATGAGATTTCTCTTCTCCAGTTCAGATGTTTTTTATCTGTCAGGAATCACTTACAGAACTTTGAATTTGTGATCCCGTGTGCGGTCATTCCCCTCCTCCACCTGTCCTCTATGACTACTGAAGAAAATCCTCCATGATGAAATCTAGGTGTGGTTTGCCCTGTTGCGGGGGAGGGGTGAAAACACAACCTGTATGAGGGTGTCAGGTACTCGGCGTTGTGTCTGCAGTGATAATGGTCAGATTTGGCGTTCGTCTAATCATATGGAATGCATCTTCCCCGACCACAGTGCCTGGCACTCCTCTGAGAGGGGCACTCCGCACCAATCCTTGCCTTTGACAAATCCCTGCCATTGACTAATCCCTGCCATCGACCAATCCCTGCCTTCGACCAATCCCTGCCTTCGACCAGTCCCTGCCTTCGACCAGTCCCTGCCTTAGACCAATCCCTGCCATCGACCAATCCCTGCCATCGACCAATCCCTGCCTTCGACCAATCCCTGCCATTGACCAATCCCTGCCATCGACCAATCCCTGCCTTCGACCAATCCCTGCCATCGACCAATCCCTGCCTTTGACCAATCCCTGCCATCGACCAATCCCTGCCATTGACCAATCCCTGCCATCGACCAATCCCTGCCATTGACCAATCCCTGCATCGACCAATCCCTGCCTTCGACCAAGGAATGGTCAGTCCACCCCTGGGCCTGGAGCCAGGGCTGGGACAAGGGGTGGGCAGGAGGGGCAGTTGCCCTGGGGGCACACTTTCTATGGCACGTGGGGAGTGCAGTTGTGAATCCTTGCCCTGGGCACTGGATCTTTCTCGGGACAATCATGCAGTGCCCAGGACAAAGATGCCAAACTGCCCCCCCCCCAATCCCACCCCATTCTTCATGTGCATTCCCTAGTAATCACTTGTCAAAACCACTGCCGCAGTCACTACTCCTGTCAGCCTTGCTAGAGAAGAAAGGCGCCCCCATCCCTACAGTAGACCATTGCGCCCAGGGCAGCCGCCCCTCCCGCCCACCCCTCGTCCTGGCCCTGGTTGACCCTGTCCCTGTATTGGTCGGAGATGTGCACCCGGCTGCCACCTCACCAGGGAGGAAGGATTGTTTGGAGACGATGAATCTGGGTGAATTCTCTGTGCCCACCGATCTCTTTATTAATGCCAATCAAAGGGATGAGGGGCCACCTTGCCTGGGGCCCCATTCTATCTTAACTTGTCTCTGCGTATCGGTGACAATGACAAAAAGGGGCTCCCATAGAGAATCGGAAGCTCCGCCCTCACAGTGAATGACCCTCCACAGTGCCACCAAAAAATACCAATCCCTGCCTTAGACCAATCCCTGCCATCGACCAATCCCTGCCTTCGACCAATCCCTGCCATCCAATCCCTGCCCTGCCATCGACCAATCCCTGCCATCGACCAATCCCATGCCATCGACCAATCCCTGCCATCGACCCCTGCCATCGACCAATCCCTGCCTTTCCCTGCCTGTGACCAATCCCTGCCCAATCCCTGCCATCGACCAATCCCTGCCATCGACCAATCCCTGCCTCGACCAATCCCCTGCCATCGACCAATCCCTGCCATCGACCAATCCCTGCCATTGACCAATCCCTGCCTTCGACCAATCCCTGCCATCGACCAATCCCTGCCATCCGACCAATCCCTGCCATCGACCAATCCCTGCCTTCGACCAATCCCTGCCATCCCTGCCATCGACCAATCCCTGCCATTGACCAATCCCTGCCTTCGACAATCCCTGCCTTCGACCAATCCTGCCATTGACCAATCCCTGTCTTCGACCAATCCCTGCCTTCGACCAATCCCTGCCATTGACCAATCCCTGCCTTTGACCAATCCCTGCCTTCGACCAATCCCTGCCATCGACCAATCCCTGCCTTCGACCAATCCCTGCCTTCGACAAGTCCCTGCCTTAGACCAATCCCTGCCATCGACCAATCCCTGCCATTGAATCCCTGCCTTCGACCAATCCCTGCCATTGACCAATCCCTGCCATCGACCAATCCCTGCCTTTGACCAATCCCTGCCATCGACCAATCCCTGCCTTCGACCAATCCCTGCCATCGACCAAATCCCTGCCTTCGACCAATCCCTGCCTTAGACCAATCCCTGCCATTCGACCAATCCCTGCCATCGACCAATCCCTGCCATTGACCAATCCTGCCATCGACCAATCCCTGCCTTCGACCAATCCCTGCCTGCCAATCCCTGCCATCGACCAATCCCTGCCTTCGACCAATCCCTGCCCCAATCCCTGCCCTTCGACCAATCCCTGCCATTGACCAAATCCCTGCCATCGACCAATCCCTGCCTTCGACCAATCCCTGCCTTCGACCAATCCCTGCCTTCGACCAATCCCTGCCATTCGACCAATCCCTGCCTTCGACCAATCGCAATCCTGCCATCTTGACCAATCCCTGCCTTCGACCAATCCCTGCCTTCGACCAATCCCTGCCGATCCTTAGACCAATCCCTGCCATCGACCAATCCCTGCCACCAATCCCTGCCTTCGACCAATCCCTGCCTTCGACCAATCCTGCCATCGCCATCCCTGCCTTCCAATCCCTGCCTTCGACCAATCCCTGCCTTCGACCAATCCCTGTCTTCGACCAATTCGCCATTGACCAATCCCTGCCGATCCTGCCATTGACCAATCCCTGCCATCCAATCCCTGCCTTTCGACCAATCCCTGCCTTGACCAATCCCTGCCATCGACCAATCCCTGCCATTGACCCCCTGCCTTCGACAAATCCCTGCCTTGACCAATCCCTGCCATCGACCAATCCCTGCCATCGACCAATCCCTGCCTTCGACCAATCCCTGCCATTGACCAATCCCTGCCTCGACCAATCCCTGCCTTCGAAATCCCTGCCTTCGACCAATCCCTGCCATCGACCAATCCCTGCCTTCGACCAATCCCTGCCATTGACCAATCCCTGCCATCGACCAATCCCTGCCTTCGACCAATCCCTGCCATTCGACCAATCCCTGCCTTCGACCAATCCCTGCCTTCGACCAATCCCTGTCCTGACCAATCCCTGCCTTGACCAATCCCTGCCTTCGACCAATCCCTGCCTTTGACCAAT